AAGGCAAACAATGATGAAAATTGATAAAACAATTTACCTCTTGCTTCTTTTTATACTCCTCAGCTTGTTTCGCTGCTAGGTCACCTCGTCTGAAGTATTTTTTATTCTGTTGCAAATGATGCAAGGATAAAATGAACACATCTGATAAAACTCATAAATATTATGGAACTCTGAAAATGTTAACCCCCAAGAGTAGCCACCCTCTGAAAGTAGTGATGTGTTATTTGACCTCTTTTACCAACCCCAATTTTGATTTGAGCCAGACAGACACCTGAGAAACCTAAACACCTTCCTGTGGTTAGCCTGCAGTACAGCTGTAATTTTTTGCGTATTTTAGGCAACTAGAGGCAAAAGCGAGGGGAGTGCGAAGCTTCACTTTCGCCTCTGTTCGCCTAAACTATGCAAAAATTACGCCTGTTCTGCAGGCTATCCTGCGGTAGCCATCTTAAGCAAAAACTGCTGTTATGATGGTAAGCACTAGTTTTGAACAAATAAAACAGCCACTTCTAGTGACTAATTTCCAATATAAATTGACGGAACACCTCAGTTTGTGGGTATTGAGTGGGTTCTTCACATAAGATTAGTTCAACTTGTTGTAAGAAAACAAAGCCTCTCTTACAATGAACCAAGAGTGGCATGACAATGCACAACAGTATTGTTGCCTTGTCCATAATAGGGAATTTTAATCTGATTTGAACCCATTTTTCAGGCTTGACTAAATATTCTTCCGAAAAGTCAAATGCCCCACATCTGCCTATGGCGTCCCCCCTTTGGGCTTCACTGGACTTAAATGTTATTATGATTTTACGTCAATACGGTTACCAAGGGCAGCAAAAACGACTATAGGAAAACAAAAAGCAGGACTTAATAAGAATTACTGTGAAGCCTAAGTCATTTACAGCGTATTTTTCTCGAATTGCGAATCATTGTGCTTTATGCGTTAAAAACATAACAACACCTCCTCCACCACAAGTACAGTTAGTTTGCACGAAGTATTATCAATTGTTTTGAAGGCAAAAATTTCGTCATGTGCAGTCCTTTAAGACTTAAGACTACAAACTCACTGANAGTCATTTACAGCGTATTTTTCTCGAATTGCGAATCATTGTGCTTTATGCGTTAAAAACATAACAACACCTCCTCCACCACAAGTACAGTTAGTTTGCACGAAGTATTATCAAATGTTTTCAAGGCAAAAATTTCGTCATGTGCAGTCCTTTAAGACTTAGGACTACAAACTCACCGACGTAACTTCATTTTGATCGATCTGTTTCTTTTTCCTCTCGATTTCAGCAAGAAGAAAGTCCATCGAACTCGGCAACTCCAACTTTTCCAAACTACTATGTCATGTAACTAACGTGTAATGTCCTCGAACAGTCTCTCTTTCGTGTCACTCAAAAGGATCCTGGAAACGACTCGGTGGCGTGACGGACACACGTGGCCTGGACATGGCAAAGGTCTCCTGGGGTTTTAATATAAATGAAATTTTTCC